GGGGGGCTGGCACAAGCGGCCGGGAGCGGTGCCGGGGCCGCACGACGGAGCTCCGAGTCTCGGGCGGGGCATACACCTGCGGGGAGTTCGATTGCTGCCCGTGCGGGGACTTGTTCTGGAAGCGGGAAAAAGTCCATCGGGAGATCGCCCCTACCCCCCCCCCTGGGGGCGGGACTGGGGGGGGGGGGGGGGGGGGGGGCGCGGACGGCAGCCCGGGGTGGTACCACCCTGGATGCTGGAGCTGGGAGCTGGGCGCGACCAGGACCGATAACAACGGCTCTCACACCGGTACCCCGGGAGAGCAGCCAGCTGCCGAGGACAGCCCCGGGGGAGGTGGGGGGGGGGCCGGTCAAGGGGGTCCCGCCGGGGCTCGGCACACCAGCCGGCATACACACGCAGGCTTCCTGACCTCATTCTGTTACGCCCGGGGCCAGGTTTCGGGCCGGGCGCCGGGGCAGATCGGGCTCGCTCTTCGGATGGGAGGGGGGCATGCTTTCTCATCTGCAACACACCCCCGCACACAGGACCCGGCAACGGGGCGGGGGTGGGGGGGGGCGGGGGGGGGGGGCGTGTGACACCTCGATCGGCGTGCGCAGCGGGGGCGGGGGGCGGGGGCGAATCGCCCGCTGCCACCGTGGCACAGGGACCCGCGCCTTTGGCCCCGTCTCCTCTGCGATCGATCACCTCCGCCTCGGCAACACCCCGGGCGACGAGCCCGGCCAAGAGGCAGGCCAGCGTCTGGAGATCTCCCGTCTCGAACGTTCACCCCCCTCCCCCTGCCTTCACTGGGGGCCTAGTTAAATGTTGCTGGCGCCCTGCCCGCTTCTGCGCGGGCGCGCCCGGACCAGCGAGTGCACATGCTCCGACCCGCGGACACGCCCACACGCCCCCCACGCCCCCCACGCCCACACAGAGCAGGGGAGAGAGAGAGAGAGAGAGAGGGACGGGCACCAACCAATCACCAGGTGGTGGGTGGGGTTGCTCAGTGTGGAGGCCAGGGAGGCGCGTGTTGCGTGCGCGCCCCCGGACAAGTGTGCCCTGCGCTCGTGCACTCGCCAGCCCATTAACCGGAAGCCTCGGTCGCCTGTTGCCCGCCTCCAGCCCCGCCCCGGCCCCCGGCGGGGGCGCCAACGGCCCCGGCGACATGCCCGGCTCGCGTGGCGAACGGCCAAATGAGAGAACGCATCTCTGAGGCCGCAGGCGGTCCTGATTGTCCCCCCGCCCCCACTGCCCGTCGCCCTTCATCCCCCTCTACACACGCGCCTGGGCATGCGTCCGCTGAATTCCACGCCCCCCCCCCCCGGCGCACGGAGGGTGGCTGGTATTTTGCCCCCACGCACATGCCCCCCCCCTCTCCCCCTCTCCCCCCTCCCCCGCCCAGGTGACCACTCCGCACAGGTACCAACGGTCGGCGATTTCGCGGGGCGCCCAATCTCAGATTGGAGGTGCCACCGGATCGGCGGCGATCGGCTCGTTTTGAAAAACCCGGCATCTGGATTGAACAGCCGCGAGTGGCCGGGGACGCATTGCGAGCCCTTCCCCGCGGAAGCTCGGGGGCCTCCTGCCAGAGAGCGCGCGCGGGGCGCAGGGGCGCAGGGGCGGGGGGGAGGGGGGCGCGAAGCCCCAGAAGGGGCCCAGCTTGCTTGGGCTCAGGGGGGCGAGGAGGGGGTCCGGGCTGGGCATCCTCGGCGGCGCGAGCAGAGGCGGGCCGGCGCCCGGAGGAGCGCGCATGTCCATCGACAAGCTCAATAGCTCCCAATACAGTAGCCTATTACTGCTGCTGCTGCTGCTGCTGCTGCTGCTGCTGCTGCTGCTGCTGCTGCTGCTGGAAGAGGCCATCGTACAAATCCTCGCGGCCCTGGATCGAGATCGGGATCTGGCTGCGGACCGCATCGACCACAGAGAAATCTGAACAGGGAGCCGCCGGTCAGCCAGGCATTGGTGGGGAAGCACATTTCAAGTGGAGACAGGCAAGAGCCAGCGCACCGATGTCCGCATAGAGGATACCCTCATCCTCCTCGAGCTTGGAAACGACCTTGGCCCTGGGGCAAGGGGAGACGCATCAATGTGAGTGGAGGACAAGGGCCGGGCAGCCACCAGCCGACCGTGCTGGCGGGAATGGCATGGGGGAGGCCCTCGCCCCCGGGGGGGGGTGTTTGAACTTGCACATGCTCCGGGACGTACCAAGGGTCCACCACGGTGCTGTGGCCGAATGCAACATAGCCAGTCGAGTTGTCCCGGGCCGGGGCCGCACCGGCGACGTACAGCTGGGCACCAAGCCGGGAGCCGAGTGCAAGTCAGTGAGGCAGAAGGGATGGGGTCACTTCCGGCGAAAGGACGCGCCTCGGGCCCAAAGGATGGAGGATGGTGTGGTGGCCCGGGGGGGGGGGGGGGGGGGGGGGGGGGG